AGCTTGTGCATTGATGGATTCATTCGAGGCTATTTGTAACTTATTAATGCTATTAGTTAAAAAGCAATAATCTATTAAATTGCGTCTAATTCATACATCACTTATCTTAAAACATGTATTGAAGTCTTTCTGTCACTCATATTGTCATTTAAAAATTATAATGGATTTATAGAACCTACTTAATTAACAACGGTTGATTTTTACAACACAAGCACACTGACAGTCAAATGCAATAAGTACAGAAATTTATGAATGCAAAGTAAGCTATATAAGCTATCATTTTAAAAAAATCCTTTATAAAATCACCTGTAAATTTCTTCACTGAACATTGTCACATACAAATAATTGTTCTTTTTTGCTAGTGGATTATTTTGCTTATGGAATTTGTTTATAATATAAGTATATACAGACATTTACCAAACTAGTTAAATTAAATTTAAATTAAAACTAAAAAAGTCTTATTACTTTTAATAAATCCTTTATAAAATCACATGTAATTTAATTCTTTACTGAACATTGTCATATATAAATAATGAAAATACATTGTTCTTTTTGCTAGTGAATTATTTTGTTAAACTTTTTAAGTACCCAAATTATGTGTTAATAAAAGAAATTAAATGGTAATCAGATATTTTAATAATTTACTTATAATACAGATATATACATATTTACAAAACTATATTAAATTTAAACTAACACTAACATTAAAAAGTCTATCACGTTCAGTCAATCCGAGGGAGGTCGGGGTCGAGGAGCATCTGTAACAGAAATAAATAAATTTAAATACATACAAAACTATACACATATAAAAGCAATTACTATCAAAAATTTATCAAAATATGACTTTTAAATTTATATAGAGTTCAATTTTTCTTTTAACAATTAAAAATGAATGAATTATTGATAATTAAGTTTGATTATCTATCTAAAATTTATTTATTCGCCTTACTCGGTAAGTTGAACATCTTCTCTGGTAACCCTTCCGCAAAACCATCCATATATGCCATGGTGGCATTCATATTGTTAATGTCTACCGTCAACTCCTCGGCGATTTCATCCAGTACTTTGCGATATTCGTTAATTTTCTCTAAATTTTGGATAGTTGTTTGTCTTCTAAATCTCACCTCATTAATAAACTCGGCTTCTTTTCGCCTCACGTACTGTTTAAAATCGCCGTACCAGATGTTTTTGAACTCTTCAAGCTGGATGTGTTGTAGGGCCGCTTTCGCCCTTATCGACTCAACAACATCATCCAGCCCGTCATTTCGTCTTGGAGTTGATGTGATCGTTGGGCGGAAGGTTGGACCCTCATCGTCGACAGGGCGTCCCATCGATGTGCTGCTGGAGGCCAAGATTTCAATACAATTTTGTCTTGGAGTTGATGTGATCGTTGGGCGGAAGGTTGGACCCTCATCGTCGACGGGGCGTCCCATCGATGTGCTGCTGGAGGCCAAGATTTCAACACGACTTTTTGGAAATTGTGGTGAAGTTCCCTCGTCGATGGAGCGCTCCACCGAAGTGCTGCTAGATGCCAAGATCGGAGTCGTAACACGCTTTTTCGGAGGAGATGCTGCCGAAGGTCCCTCGTCGCTAGAGCGTACCACCGAAGTGCTGCTGGACGCTAAAATCGGGCTCCCAGCACGCTTTTTCTGCGGAGAGGCTGCCAAAGGCCCCTCGACGATGGATGTTTGCAACGAAGATATTTCCTGGCGTATGGTTCTGTCGGATGAAACTGTGTCGCTCAAAATAATAATTTCCTGCACCGCTTGGCTGGCTCGGTTGGCAATACAATTTTCGGCTACTCTCCTATCGAACGATGGCACCCATTCATCATCGGTCAACTTGTCATCACTATCGCGATGTTTCAAACTTAAAACGTTTTTTGAATTGTCTGCCATTGTTTGCACTGCGTAAACTTGTAGATATAAACTGAGCAGCAGAGGCGGGGTATGATATTTATACTAACAGGCAATGTGGAACTTGTACCCACGCCGACTAACAATTGGAGGTGGTAACCCACGCTACTTTACCTGTTTCTTTGTTTGAATGGAATGATGCATCGATAAACTGCATCGCCAGGTGCTACAAGACCGGTTTCTTTGTTTCGCTGCAAGTTGCTTTTGCAGACATAGAAATATGTATGGAATGTGGTCTCAATGCTCTCGAGCAAACTACATTGTACAATGGTTGCAGTAGAGATGGGAATCAAAAATTAGTTTCTGCATTATATAAACTGTTGTAAAATAATCATTGTCGAATAGTTAACAAAATGAATACTGACTTGACAGAGTGTCCTTTTGTAAAAACTCACCTAGTGAAACGTACGCGGATGGGGCATCATATCTTAACACATTCGCTGCCCGACAAAATATCATTCAAGTGTCTGCTGCCACCTATTTTTTTTTTAAATATTTTATGATGGTGTCCAGTGGTGGTTAGATAGCTCTATATTAAGGTAAAATATCACTTTTTTCAAAAAAACAAAAAACGCCCTAGGCGGTCCGGGCACCGGCCAGTGCTCGGTGTCGTTCAGGTGCCCGGAACCGCCCCTAGGGCGTTTTGGAGGAAACTGAAAAAATAAAATGTTTTATTATAATATTTAGGAAAAAGATATAATATAAAAAATAAAATGTAAAAATTAAAATGTACACAAAATATAAAACAGTGAAACCGAATAAATAAAATAATAAACAAAACTTATTTTTTGGAATGAAACTGAAGCAAGGAGATAAACAAAATCCAGGTTGGTCGGGACACAAGGGACAATAATAAATGGAATCTTTTCTAATTTTTTCGCCTTCCCAGCAAACTTTACATCTCCTTCGTTTGACTCGGGTATTAGCCCCTTCACCTTTAGGGCAAAGCTCAGGAAGGTGAGTAATCTTAATTTTTGACAATGGATATGCATACATCGATGTCAAACATCGATGTTTTTATTTTCGATATAGGTACATAGGTATAGTGTATCGTTGATATCCCTAGGCATATGACGGGTAAAAAATGTGAATACTCGACTATTCGATTTAAGCAAACTACAAAAAAGAAAAACTACCCCTATGAGAGTTACTGTCGCCCTCTTCGTTGTCTAGGCGATTAAGAAAGTAAAGAATGCCAAATGTTTCAAGCTACATTTACATTCAATTCGAAATGAAATTAATTCAAGCCGCAATTGACAGACCATTTACTTTGGGAATGAATTATTTATGGTTTAGATTTTAGATGTTTTCGTTGTTTGGAACTCAACCCGTTTCCCAATCTACGTATTACAAACGTTTTTAAAGAGTATCAGTGGTAGCAGTTAAAATGATGACTAACGAAGAAAAACTCGTAATATTAGGATGTTCCGCAGTAGTACTAACAATCTTAATCAAGAAAGTAGGAAGAAATTATCCTGGAAAGCAGCGGAATCGCAGAATGTGGGCACGAAGTATTTACTTAACCCATTAGTGCCCAGATTATTTTTTTTCTGATTTTTTCTGTAATTTTAGTATTTTTTGTTTAAATTATTGTTAAAATTTATAAAAAATCATGAATTTTTGCAACTATATTTTAAGATCCTTCAGGATAAGGTGTTACATATATGTAACGCTAGGAACTACTGGGAGTAAAAAATACGTGTAATCAAAAATAAAGAGTTTTATTGAAAATTATACAAAAAAATAAGAAACTAGATATTTAACATTTTGATTAACCACTGTTTGTGTGGTAGGAAACAAAACAATCAATTGCAGAGTCCTACATCACATTTTCTGCACTGGGTGCGTGTTGAACTCTTACAAGATCTTCCTGCGCAACGCCTCCTTTTGTCGTTTGGAACTTTTTCGACAAGGTGGTCCTTCCTGCTATATCTAATTTCATCAATCACTCCTTGTGCATTAGAAAATGGCGATGGAGTTCTGCCAGTACCTTCGGGAGCTGACGCATATTTTTTCAAATAAACTTGCACAATGGAACGTCTAAAATTTATTTGGCTTATTTGAGAATTGTTGGATTTTCGATATAAACACCATGCATTATTGATTGAAATATCAAGCGGCCATGTAAACAATGGCCAATACCATTTCCTGTTCCTTATTTGGATCCTGTATTATCCAACATTTTGGTCCATTCGATCTGTACCACCCATTTTTTTGTTGTACTCAGCAAGTAAAGCTGGTCGGCTAACTTGTATGTGTTTTTTCTCCTTTTGCGAGTAACGTCTAACATTTGTCACCGGATTAATGCCATATTGAAAAACACTAATAGTGTTTTTGAAATAACCTCTATCCTTTTTTTCCAAGTAGCTTTTTATCCGATAAGGGACAGCTCTTGGGTAAACGGTTTTCCCTAATAGTCCCCGTACCTCCATAACCTTTCAAACGTAAGTAGGTTAATAAACTAAAAGTGGTGAATAAATTGTCGAAGTAAAAAGAAAATTGCAAAGGTTTCAGATTATTGGGTAGTTCTTCTATCATTTTAACCAATGGTGCTGCCGCTTTTACGAAGTTTCTTTCAATATCAACATCAGGAGTTACAGATTTTCCTTGATATATTTCGAAATCTATCAAGTAGCCCATTATGGTATTTAGGCACCAGACCTTATACCCAAATAGTATGGGTTTGGCTCTCAGAAACTGCTTACAGCTGTGTTTACCATAGTACTTGACCATACTTTCGTCGAAAGCTAAGTCTTTTTCAGGAACAAAATATTTTCTGCACTTCTCTTTTATTTTCTTTACGAACGGTCTTATTTTCCAGAGCTTATCACCTTGATCCATATTTTCGTTGGGAGCTAAATGCAGAAACCTCAAAATTTGCTCGAATCTGTTGCGCCTCATCGAATTATATACCAGTGCGTTTCTGGTGTCAAGACTTTGTTCCCAATACATCCGCTTGCTAGGTAGATCATTGTAACCGCTAAGAATCAATATGGCAATGAAACATTTCATTTCATCTGGTGACACACCTGGATCGGGTTGGTTTTTGAAGAGAGCATACTTATTTGTTTCTTCTACCAGATATAATATTATTTCTTCGTCCAGAAACATTTCAAAGAAATCAACAATCGATTTGTTTTGAAATGATGAATAATCTGCTTCAGGGAATGATTTTTCGTTGTAGGTGAAATCTCCTGAAATCCAATCTCGAGGGTCAGAAACTTTAGGATATGCTATGTGAGCTGGTGACACATTTATATCATTGATTAGAGGAGCACCATCTTCGAACAACTCTTCTTCAGATTCTTGCGATTGCGTTTCATCCATGAAAATTTCCTCTTCCAGTGTAATTCCCCTAGCAGTTCGTAATTCTGCATCTGCCAGTAACTGACGCCTGCTCAAATTATCTTCATTTCCGCCCTCGTCCTCGTCTCCAGAATCCTCANAATAGATAGGTAGTTGGATTAGTCCTATTAACCTTTCTTATTATAAACACCTCGTTGCTCCAATTTGGTGTGTACGATTTACTAAATGCCTCTCTGTATTTGCTGATTCTTACATAATCCCCGACTTTAAACTTTACTGGTTTCGGATCGACGCTTTTTAAATAGCTATAAGCTGTTTGCAACAGCTTAGTAGCATTTTTGTTATTTACTTTAATGGGGGCCAGACCATGCGTTCGATGTTGTGTCTCCTGTTCACAATCTCCGGTAATATATCCATTTATAAGTCCCTTGAAGGCTGAACTGCTTCCACATTAAGTTTTTCAGTGTCCTGTTTACCCTTTCCACAACACTAGCTTTTAAATTTGAGTACGTGCTGTAATGATTAATTTTGAATTGCGTCATCAAGTTCTTAAATTCTTTATTGTAAAACTCCTTGCCTAAATCTGTCTGACAATTATGTGGCATGTACTTCATCTGGGATAAGATCTTAGCCATAGCATTACTCACTTCTATTGCGGTTTTGCGTTTAACAGGTTCCGCCCACACAAACTTGCTAAATACGTTTATAACGATGAGAATGTATCGGTAACCCTTGTTAACCTTTGCATAAGGTATCATTTCCACCAAGTCTGCTTGAATTAAATCATTTAATCCTCTAACTAAAACGTGTCTTCTTCTAAAATTTTTTCTAGCTGGCTTATGGAGTTCGTTTACTACTACTTCTTTGATACTAGACATTCTTTGCTATAGGACACTGTAAAACTATTTCTGCATATAAAGATGGGTATCCTGGTACGACATCGAAAAATAATTTATCTCCTTTATTTATAGTGCGTCCAATAAGACTTTTCATCTTAAAGGCTGATCCGAAATTAAGAAACATGTCACAATCGACTGGAAAAATATCTACATATTCGATTTTTCCAGATACCGGAAAAATGTATTCCTCTTTTTTATTCTCCAACGTATACCTATTCAATGATTTGTTTTCAAAACCATTNAAAAATATGACATTAGTGTTAGACATACAAGGATTTAAAATTGAAAACAATAAATTTATCGTTAAAGAACTGGCAGCTTTTGATGGACAGAAGATATTTCATTATTTGTTCAAACCACCATTTCCCTTCCATATGCTCTCTGCACAGTTACAGAGACAAGCATCGTGGCTAACAGAAAATCATCATGGTATTGAGTGGAGAGATGGATTCACGCCACTTCACAAATTCAAAACAATTGTTCAAAATATACCAACCACCGCAATTTACATAAAAGGGAAGGAAAAAGCGAACTTTATCAGGAAATTTGTTAACATTCCAGTTGTCGAACTTCCAGAACAACCCGTGCTACAAAAATCTACACCTAAATGTTTTTATCATTGCCAAAATTATTGTGTTTGTGCTCTTTCAAATGTATATTTTTTATATGACACTTTTTGTAATCCTTTAAATTTTAATAAATAAATAATATAAATATTTTTTTCGTTTTAATAAAACACAATCTAATAATACAATTTTTTATTAAGGTACAATTTAACAAAATCTTTTATTATATATTTTGTTTCTATGACTACTATCCAATACAGGATTTATAATATCTGACAGTTCTGTTATTTTCCTCTGGAAACGTGCTCGATCGCATGCAAAAATTTCCCAGTATATTTTTCTAGATGATTGATACGCAAACTGCCAGGTTACAAGCATGTGAATTGTGTCTTTTTCATTAAACGTAACTTTTTTCATTCTCAGCTTCAAATACTTTTGGATATAAATAAATTAGTTCCATAATCATTGAGACATTTTCACTATTTCGATTTGTGCTTGGTTGCAATAGGTTTAAGGCATTTTCAAAGATATTTCCTGTTTGATTCTGAAGCCCTTTCTGTACAATTTTAAAATAGTTAGGGAACTGTAATCTCTCCAATATATCCAGTCGATACTCTATCAGGGGTATGCAATCCCATAAACTGCATATAGTTTCATAACCCAGATACACGTAGGAATTATTTTTAAAAATTTTTACCACTGCAGAACTCATCACCTCTTCAAATTCTATAGAAATATTTCCGGTTTCTATTGGTTCCGCTAATTTCCTGTTGTAGAGATTATTTGTAATAACTCCTTGATATGTAAGAAAAGATTTCCATTCTTCTATGTTGAATATTATAGCGTCACATTTGTTTCCACATAACTTTACATATGGTTCGTAATTAAAATCATATGCTAATTCAACGGATACGAATTTGGTTCTTGACTTATTTAAATGAAATTTTCTTTCACCTATTACTACACAATCATTTTTATTCTGAAATGATGGAGGAAGATTATTTGATATGTTAGATTAGGCAAATCAAAAATATTAGTATGATACATTTTAAAGCCTTCTAAACCAGAGACGTTAGATTCAATTTATAAGGATCCGTTTGAAAAAGTGGGGGTTGATAGGAGGGGAGATTTTCAAACACTCATTGGATCCGTTTGAATAAGTGGGGGAAATTTTCAACTCTCCGACCTTTCATTGGTCGGAATAAAAAAGTGGGAGGTAAATTTTCAACTCTCCAACTTACCCTACTCCTGGTGACGTTCAGTAGCATTGTCGTAAAACTTGCAATGTTGGGTTGAATTTGTGGCTTGTTTCCATTACATTTTCTCTTTAAAATATCGACATATCTCTTTTGTTTACAAGATTAAAAATTTCTCTCTTCGTTTACACTCGATCTACTTCAAGGAAGTCGCACATCGACTTAGCAATAGCATCAGCTTCTTCTTGGGTAGGGTACCCAATGGGCTCCGGTTTTCGCTAGACCTCCGTGCGCTTGCTATCTTCTAACCAATGGTTAGCACACAATTGTAACAGGACAATTCAAGTAAATATGAAAATTGATGTTTTCTGTGTTATTATATGGAGAAATATAAGTTTGAGATTCTAGACGACACAGCATGAACGGAACATGATCCGAGCACAGTACCCTAAATGAAAACCAACCTATATGTTACACAAAGTTTGTCGACTCCTCCTTTTGTCGAATTATAAAATGTGATGATCTCGGGTTTAGTTTTGTCACCTGACGATGCATCAATGCATCGCGGTGCATACTAGAGGCTAAGATCACGTTTTTGTTCTTTTTGGGACGTATGAAACGATTGTCGTATCTGCCTGATAACCAAACACGCTTGACCCAACGGGACGAGATTTTGTGTTTACAAATTCAGGTGGCAGTTGTTCTTGTTTTTGCGGAGTGTACCTACACAGGTTATTTTTAAAGTCTCGAAGAAGCTATCAATGGAAAGGTAGTAAACCAGTAAATAATTTCTGTTTGTACCAGATATAGGTGAAATTATGCGCCCGACAATAATGGCTGAGTCATTTGGAACTTGATAGGAACCTTCTGGTTGTTGTCCTTCATATATTTCTAAGTTCAAAGTATACCATGTCTTAGCATCCACCAGGGCAAATATCTCTATGCCATATTTATTTTTCTTGCTAGGGATGTATTGCTAGAAGCTGAATTTACCCCTGAATACCTCTAACTTCTCGTCGATTGGGCAATACCTGCTTATAGTGTAATATTTTTGGCATTTTTCAATTAAAATTTCAAATACTTCACGTATCGGTGCCAATTTATCTGTACCTCACCTCTCCTCTTCAGTAGTCACATTATCAAAACGAAGACTCAATAGGAACAGAAAACGTTCTTTTGACATTGTGAGCCAGAAATACTCTATTCGAGGACCAGAGCTCATCTGCACGATTACTTTTGAGAATTCCGGTTAAATACAGAAGACCTAAGAATGCCTTTATTTCGATTTTATCAGTGGTATTTGTGTTTCCCTCTC